CAAGACTTTGGCAGCTGTGGCATCTGCCACCAGCCTGGTGTCTCCAAGGAGGCCCAGACCAGCTGCTTTCTCAGTGACAGGTGCTCTGGTCATGCAGGGCTAGCTGGTGTCCAGTGCACCTGTTTTGTCTCTGGCACCAGGGACTCTAGCACAGCTGCAGCGGACCACAGTACAGGTGGTGAGGGGGGGAGTTCTGGCAGCACAAGTGGGGGGAGTGGACCCCAGTCTGGTGCTATCTCTGAACACCATGGAAGCTTCCTAGGTGACCTTGCATCAGTCACACACATTCTGACTAATCTCCCTCACAGGGCTTTTGTAAGGATAAAAGGGAGAAGAATGGAGTAACTGCTTTGGGTCTCCACTGGGGATAAAGGCAATGTATAAATGGAGATTTTTTAAAATGCCACTTGCAAAAAAGCCTTTGTACAAGACCACATACAGATTTGGGTCTTCAGAATAGCTTTAGTTCTCTGGACATAACACGAACATACTCATTCTCAGTTTTGTGATGCACGTTATCATGCTTGTTATCATGTACCTACCAAAAATTAGTGCAAGTTCTGGAGATGACTTTCACATTGTTTTTTATTATGCTGTTAGTTCATGTGACTTAAGTAGTTCAATGACAACGGTTTACAGTCTAGTCAGTACTTTGATCTGTTGCATTCTTGCCCTGCTCCTGCTTAACATAGAACTTTCTCCATGACTTGTAGGCAGTAAGCACAGACTGGCAGTGACTCTCTCCAGGGCTTCAAGGCGAGGTCCTTCACGTTGCCTGCTATGTGATCCTTTTTAACTGGACATGATGGGACTGAACCTGGGACCTTCTGCATGTCCAGCAGAATTAAAAACTCATTAAAAACATTTTATTTGTAATTTAACGGCAACAAGAGACCTTCCAGCAGAGCATATAGAGAATGACAGGGGCACCAACCTTTGACTCTAACATCTAACATACCTGTAGAATGAAAGAACTCGGAAGTATTCTGAGACAGTTGAGTGTCATTCAACTGAACTTTCAACTGAAAAATCTATTAAGTTTTTGTGCTCACCCATGCCAGATTTGCCATCGGGATATGTGTAGACCTGCCCATTGTTCTTGATAATTGGGAGACTGGAGGGTAAAGGAGCAACTTCCTCTTCACTCTCATCAGAGCTGGAGCTACTACTGGTATCCTCACTGCAGCTATCATAACCATCAAACATCCCAAATGAGTCACGTCTTTTCCTCTCTGACCGTGAAGAGTGTTCAGTCTAAAACACAAGAGAAATTAAAAATACTGAAGTCTCTGAAGATATGAGTACAATTTCAGCATTTGAACAAGTTTTCATGAAGTGTATATTATACAGTGTACTTCTATTTACACAGATAAATGAGGGAAATGAGGGACCCCTAAAACATTTAGAGAATCAGAAAATGAGATATTAAGCAATGTACGTTTTCCCCCAAAATTTAAGTTTATCACCTGCTGATATGCCCAAAAATATTTCAATATTTAAACATTATTTATCCACTCTGGATAACCAGAAGGTAACAACCAGATGGTAAAAATATTATCTGGTTCAGATTTCTGAACTTCTGAAAATAAAATGAAAATAAAGCTATCACTGGAGTTTACCCAAAAATAAAGTTAGTGTCTTATCAACCCACACTGAGCTTCATTCAGAAAACCAAGAATCTTTCCAGTTACCAGCAAGAATAGAACCAGAGAAGTCATAACCAGGTATGCATCACTGCTATTCTTTACAGTCTCTACAGCGTTTTTTGCTGTCCATTGAATTTAGGCAGCCCCCTTATGTGCTTCCCTTCACATATTTTCAATGTTTGAAGCAGACTAGTCTCCTCAAGCAGTGATCTGCCATGGCTACTGACAAACAGAATGAAACATGTCAGCATCACAATAGTTTAGAATTGTATGTGTATGCCTTCATTATGGACTGGAACAACAATATATTGCAAAATTCCTATAACTAAAGGGATATATCCCTTGCACAGCGCAAGTCAAATGACACATTTTATGTCAAAATAACATAATGAAAAAGGCTCAGTTAAGCGTACTGACAAAGAGGCAATGAAAATGGACCCTGTGTCCTTACTACAACTAAAAGACTTGTATTATAATACTGGATAGATAAATGTCCACCTCTATTAAATCAATGGATAGACCTTAGAACTCTATCAATATTTGAATGAATGGCATACAGATGACAATTGTGTACGGACTTTTTAAAAGATATTTGGAAATCTTTTATAGAAACTTATGTGTAGATCTGCCACCACTGTTGTACTTTTTTGTCCCTATGTATGGCTTTTTTCTTGTTCTTTTTAAAATTGTTTAATTGCTAGATTTTGAGTTTTCCTTGTTCTTTTTTTAAAAAAAGAAAGATATGTTTAAAAAGACAAAAGAGGCACTGACCATTCTTTAACAGTTAGAGGAAACAGTTTTGGACAACTGAAACATAAACAAGGACACAATCCTGAGTCCCTATCAAACTGTAAACCTTTACTCCCTTTCTCTACTATCCGACCTTGTCAGGATTCTGTTTCAATTTGTTAAACATCATCAACTCCCCAAAGCATTCCCTCAACTATTTAAAGAGATCACTGCTGCTCCTGAAACTGTTGCAGAAGAAAAGTATTTTTGGTCATCATCTACTTACTGAAGACACAAACTACAACATGTAAGACAATCTCATCTCAAAGCACATCATGCAAATCCTGAAATGTATTAGGGATAAGATGGACACCTATAGTACCCCACATGATAGTCTGAGTGGGGTACAGCAGGTACAACACCACCTTCTGATACCAGTTAGATAGGAGAAGAGGCACTGCAAAACAACGGTTCCTACTCTGTGAAGCAGCATACATAAATCTGATGGTCCACCATCTCAAATGATCCACTATATTAAAAAAAGAAGGCCAAATGCTACTGTTCTTCCTAAGGCATACACTTCCCACCTGAAAAATACCTTAAGTAGTTCGGAGCTCAACATGAGAAAAGGAGGGTGAAACACTTTTGTCCTGGCTGAAGGGGGAAATTAGACAAATGAATTTAGGAGAGATTCCTCACAAAATAACCAAGTACATGTTTTTAATTTATACATCTTTTTCAAGACATGTTGCAGAACAAAGACAAAATCCGCATGTCTGGACAGCAACAGTCACAATATTAACTTATGCCTATGGGAATAGTCCTATAGTTGCTAGATACATTATATTTCTGTGTTGTGGATTCAAATAACTATTCCTACAACTTATTTGTGATAATCATACATTAGGATGTTATTTTAGGTGTACTAAAATGTCTACTAATTTTTGCCACTACATAAATTTGTAAGTTGAGAGAGAAACTGCTTAATGGCAAAAGAGAGAATCCTGTGGCTCTTTTAAGACTAATACATTATTTCATTATTAAAATATTTATATCACGCCTTTCCTCATGGCTCAAGGTAATTTAAAGATTAAAGTAAACACATCATAATTTAAAGCCAACAAAATAAAACTCCAATAACTCCCCCCCACCCTGAAACAGATACCTGAAGTTTATACTCCATTTAAAAAGTGGAAAATAAAATGGCCTTGCAGTGCCTCCTAAAACGTTCTCAACATGGTAACCCCCAAAACCACTTCAGGGAGCTCGTTCCACAAAGGGAGCTACAATGGAGAAGGCAGAGGGTCTGTTTGGTGCCAGGTGAGCTATCTGCAGTGGGGAGAAGCCAGGAGATAGCAGCCTGAGGACCATGGTTGGCACACATGTTACTTTTTATTTATTTCAATAATTTCTTAGCTGCCTTTCTACCATACAGGAACTCAAGACAGCTTACAATGTAAATTATTTATTTATTTGTTTATTATTATTATATTTATAACCCGCTCTCCCCGCAAGCGGGCTCAGGGCGGCTCACATTGCCTGGCACAGTGTGCCAAGGTTCCTATACATCAAACATTTAAAACGTAAAACACTATTAAAACATTTAAGCAATCAACAATATTCAAGTAAAATCAGGAACCAAAAGGTTGAGCCACTAGAAAATAAAATGCAAATATTTATTACACAATGCACAGAATCTTAGGATTAAAAATGACATACATGGGATACCATTAAAAACTCAGTTCATAATATACAGCAACACGGTGAAGTTGCACATCCAATAACAAAGAATCACAATGAATCATAATACTGACAAAAAATAAAAAGTGAAGCTCCTAGCAATGGTTTTAAATCAATTCTGTATATACCTGGTCTCTGGTTTATGCATGAACACGCACTGGGAATTGAATTACGGTGCATGAGAGAACGGTGGTTCCTAGTGACTATCTTTGATGAGTGAGGGCTCTTCAATATATACAGAATTGTTTTAAAACCTTTGCTAGGAGCTTCACTTTTTAAATGATGCATACACAACTTGCTGGGCCTGAAAAAGATATTTTATATTTTATATTCATATTGTTATAATTTTACGTGTGCGTTAATACAATTCTCATCTCTGAAGAAGGCCCTTTGGGCTGAAACACATTGAGTCCTTTGATTAATATACATGAGTTACCATCATTGTGATTCTTTTGTTATTGTACGTGCAACTTCACCTCGTTGCTGTATATTATGAACAGAGTTTTTAATGGTATCCCATGTATGTCATTTTTAATCCTAAGATTCCATGCATTGTGCAATAAATATTTGCATTTTATTTTCTAGTAGCTCAAACATTTTGTTCTTGACTTGACTTTCAGGTTGGTCCCCATCTTTCTCTAAATACCTTAAAATAAAATAACATAAAATACATTAAAAACCCTAGGCAGAAGAACTAAATACCATCATGAATAAAACTGTCTTTAGTTGTCTCCAAAAGATCAAGAGTGAGCAAGTCAGGTACACCTCCTTGGGGAAGTTGTTCCATAACCGTGAACCTGCCTCTGAAAAGCCCCTCTCCTGTATACCCACCAGACAAGCTTCTTTGGTTGATGGGCCAGTCAAGGGGGGCTCTCCCTGTGATCTTAGCTCCAGATTGAAATGGATCCAGAAAACCAGTCTCTTCCCATCATATACATATACATATACATATACATACACACACACACACACACACACACACACACACACATATATATATATATATATATACACACACACACACACACACACATATACATATATATATAAAAGAAAGTCCTCTCACCATAAAATCAGCACCCAGGCCAAACCCCTGGACCTAGGAACACGAAATTCAGGGAGAGCACTCCTACCATGATGTAGATGCTCACAAAGAAGGGATTTTTAGAAATTCAACCCCTAAGGGGGTCAAAAGGGGTAAAATGTGCTCCCCCCATTGCTTCCTATGTGGCTGCCAGGCTGCTGCCTCCTTGCACCCCCCACTATCTGATTGGTCACCTGCATAGCTCAGTGTTCTGAGGTAAAAAACCCAGTTACAGGAGACTGCTAATGGCAGTTGAGGAAATGAGGAATGGCCAACAACTACCTGTGAGGTACAGCAATGCTGCTTGCCCAGCCTCCCCATGGCTTCAAACACACTTCCCCCAGCAGTGGGTGCAGGGTGCTTAAAGCAATCAAGGAGTGTGCCCCAGCAGTAACGCCTTAGCAATCCTGCTGGCTCAGCCTTCACAATGGCTTGCAATACACTGCCCCCTCCCCTTCTACACTGGACAGGCAGCTGCCTGTCAGGTGTAGGAGAGGGGGGTGGGATGCTTACAGCCGTCAGGGAGACTTTCTCAGGACTGCTTTAGCGCTGTTGCTGGCCCAGCCTCACCAATGCCTTTAAACACACTCTCCCCCAACACCAGACAGGTGGGTGTCTGTCAGTTGTAGGAGTAGGGCCAGGGTACTTTAATCCAACAGAGAGTCCACCTGAGCATAAACACTTTAGCAAAGCTGCTGGGCCAGCCTCCCCAGTGGCTTTAAGCACACTCCCACCCACCCCTCCTCCACCTGACAGATGGTTGTCTGTTAGGTGCAGGAGCAGAGCATTGAAAGCCATCAGGGAGGCTGCCCAAGCATTATCTCCTTAGCAAATGTGTTCCCCCAATTGTTTTCCATGTGCCTGTCAGGCTGCTGCCTACTTCCCC